TCCAGGTTAAAAAAAAAAGTATAGAAAGGTAAATTGTCTGAAATGACATGTTTCAGTCAGACAGCTATGAAATTCACACTTTTATTTTTCTTAATATCTGCTTTCATGAGAGCTTCATGGGAAATAAACCACAGCATTAGCAATTTATAATTATCCAAAATCTTGATATAGTCCAACTCATGTTACAGTAGCAAACATTCTGAAGTCAATCATGAGGGTCGTGATAACAGTTTAGAACAAATGATTTAAAATTCATACAGATCTGTACTGTTTTTCAGACTGTTAGTTATAAATTAGAGGATGACAGAGGGAAAGGGTACAGTGGAAAAAGTCTTATTCTAGTTTACTAATTAATGATAAGGTCTCTGACTCTATATTAAGAAAGTACTTCTAAATTCTGAATACATAATCCTCCCCAATTTTGTTCTTTTGGAAATTTAACAGAGTGAATTTCCTATTTTTCAGTCAAAACAAATGTATAAACATTTTATGAACAGGCCTCAGTAAATGGTAAAATTAACAAATCAATATTTAGTCTCAGACTAGACATACTGTTCAACTGTTATCTCAACAGACTAGAAATGTTGACTTTAGTACGTGAATATACGTTAAAAGCGTCGGTTTTATACTGGTGACTTCAAAAAGCTGGAGAGAACGATAAACATTTCACTTTACATATACGTAATAAAATAACTGTTTAATAATGAACACTACTTATATTTACAGTCTTACATTATAGGAGTCCTAAATAATTCAAAGAAGAAATTGTAAAAGAGCATTTAAAGAACAAGTGTGTCATGATTTTCCCCCTAAGAGATAATCTCTTGCTCTAAATTTAGAAGAACAAGTTTGCATTCTAAATAACAAGATAGATACCCAGTAAATATCAGGCTTATGCTTGCTATCATAAGCATTAAAGGTGGACTGTGGCATCATCTCACATTTCAAAAGAAAAGGTAAATAATGCCAAAATTCAGTGGGTTTGAGAAGATGACATGGTGTGGGGTGGTGCTGAAGGCCACATCTAGGCTCTGGAGTCAGGCAGAACTCATTTTAAGTCCCAGATCTATTACTTGTTAAGTCTGTGAACCCATGAACGTGACCTTTTTGGGCTTGTTTCTTCATCTATATCTGGAAAAATACTGGAATACACTTCAAAGAAATGTTCTAAGAGTCAAGAATAAAGTACATGCTATGTAGTCAGTTGACAATTGATACTGCTTTCAAGTTCTCTTCCCTTTCTCTATTTTTCTTTTCTCCACAGAATTTCTCTTTTTTTTTTATAAATTAAATTTAAATTTTACAAAAAATACAACAAATAGAGTCAGCACATCCATCCGAATCCATATATCATTGCTACATTTCTTGTAAGCAGTTGAATCTGTCAACTGGACTGCTGATCTAGTATCAAGCTGTCTCCTTTTGACAATGTCAGTGACTCTTGACCCTTTGTCACTGTTATATGGTCAGTTTGTGTCCTTGCTGTATTGAACAAGGGGCAGGACACTGCAGTATGACCCTCAGAAGGATATAGTGACTTTCTCACAGGGGTCCAGGCAGGCTTGTGAGTGAAACTCTTTCAAAATTCTTTTTAACCTGCCATTAGGGGAGGTTGTTTTTCAAAATGCAATGTTTGAGAGACGAATTACTTAATCCTCACTCAGAATGCTATCCTTTACCACATAAAAACTGCGTAAAGATAATTAAGAAAGTCACCTAAAAGGTCTACCTTAAAAAATAAACTATGATTTATCTAAAAATTTTTTCTATGTATATCAGTTTTAGTGAGTTTACTCCATTAATATAACCTATTAATACTGTAATGAAAATAAAAACACGCTATTTACAAATAGTGATTACGTATCTAAATAACATTTAAATTGCAATACCAAAAGTACAAATACACATACAAAAGAAAATGCACAGGTATAAAATAATGTTTGTGTGGCTCTAAAATTATAAATAACCTAGACACAATCTTAATGTCATTCTTTTTACTTTCAAGAAAATTCTATTACTGCAGTTAAATAGGTTTTAAATATGCAGAGTATTGCAAAACCTGAAACAATTCCACTGGGGGAAAAAAAGTATATTTCCCTTGCATACTGTATGACATAAAAAAATACGAGGGATGGGTTTTAATATTTTTTCTACATGAAACAGTATTAATCTGTGAAAATGGCTAATACAATTTTGATATGTAATTTAAAACATTTGGTTAAAGGAAAGAATTAGATAAAGCTTAAGATGGAATCCTAAGTAAAACTGAGGGTGTGTGTTGACCAAGGCACACTGGCATTCCTTTGTAGGGTCGATCAATAGATATTAGCTTTAAAAAGAGAGATGTAGAAAGAAGCTGCAGCGTATTTTTTAAATGACAGGGTGAAGGCTTAAATTGTCTCAATCAAGACTCAATTTTTTCTTCCCAGTTTTTCCAGCTGTTCTCTTCCAGTTAAGACTCTTCATTTCAAATAAATTTAATTAGTTCCAATTGATCATAGCCACCACTTACACAGCTTAATCCATGCTCCTTTACTTTCATAAGGCAAACACTAACAAAGACTGCCAGGCTCAGATTCAAGTGTCAGAAGACAATACTTAACCTCATCCGCTCTCGCCCAGAGGAAAAATCACAGCAAAAGCACTACATTATACTGCACATTTTAATTGCTGTCTTGGTCAGCTGTTGAATTCAGTTAACTGAAGAATTAAGTCCCAGATTACTACAGAAATAAAATTAATACAACTCTGCATACTAGCCTTGCTACAGCATTCAAATAAGAGTTCATTCAGAACACAGGCAAATCTCTCTGTCATGATATAATTTCTATTTCATAGTATTTTATGAGGAGATATTATTAGAGCAATTTCTTTAAAATAACCAGGAAACAGAATCAGATTTTTCAAAGTGAGTGGCTACACTGGCCAGTTTCCCCTTTTGTAGTAACTGTGCTCTACAATGCTGGTTATCCCAAAATAAGATTATTCTGCTTGAAACAGGTGTCTCTCAATGCACCCACCGTATTTTTCATAATGCAATTTATATAGGATTTTAGTCAATAAAAAGAAATATGGTTTTCTTCCAAACCCTCACAAAAATCTATACCACATCTTAATCAAGTCACAGTCTAAAGGTAACCTGAATGATGTACAGGCTGCCGCATGCTAGTTGCTCTGACAACATGTTAAGGAAGCCTGCCTTAGTTATTTAAATTCTTTGGATATTGAACATTCCTGCCCCTAGTACTCATGGCATGAAATGAGTAAATCAACTGATCAAAGCCATTCGTCACACACGTTTAACTAAACTTCTTACAGATTAAAATACAGTTTATGTAGCATTAATTGACTCTCCAAAGTACATTTTCATTTTTAAGCTTTTTGCTTTTTTAAAAAAACTATCAAATAAAGATACAGTCACGTGCTATCATGCTGCCTCATGAATTTGGCAGTGCATAATTCACAATTTCAATATACGGGTTTAATAAATGTTTACTCCAGTGCTCAAAAATTCAGCTTTTATTCTGGAATGCAAATTGAGTTGTTGTGTTATTACAAAGGCAACTTCTTTTCTTCCCATTAATTGAACCACTACATTTTACAGAAAACAAAACCTTTAAAATTTAGAGGGAATAATAGAACATATCTATAACATTATTTTTTAAAAAGCAGTGAAAACTGAATAAAGCAAGAACTAGGTTTTCAAAATCTGCAAATGAAATTTCCTTTAGTAGCTGCTGAAAAAACTTCCATAATTGTGAAGTACAAATGACTTTCAGCAAAGTTAGAAGTTTTCAAAATAATTTATATCTAAGGTGGATGATTTTTAAAAAAAAATCAATGAACTGATACATTAAAAAGTAACAAGTAAGAGCCACCACCATCTCATTTCTGCTGGAAACCAGATGCCTCTCAGCCTCGTCAATGACTTATCTGCAGCAGTGGCACAAGTCTATAGGTTTTTAATACAGGCTTTGTAAATTTTCAAGGGAGATCATTAGGCTTCCTCAACTTCTTCCCAGTGAAAACAATTTAAGGGCATTCAGATGATAACAGTAAAAAAAACCAAAATAAAAAAAACCCCAAAAACAAAAAACCTTTCACACAGAGCTTTCAAAGGAAAAAGAGGGGTAAAAACTTTCCTTTTTTTCCCCTCACTTCAATTTTTGTTGAAAATTTTACTGTTATTTTCTAGGCATGCTTCTTTTCAAATTATTGATTACTATTAAGTTAATATTTCTTGCTTCATAATAATTATAGATTTATATGGTCAGATTTTACATTTTAACCATCTGCATGAAAAACAAGAGTTTATCATTCTTAATACCAATAAAATATTTACACTAGGTTGTTTTTATCTTCTGTGCATGAAAGAAATTGAGATGAATGTATTTGGAGATCCAGTAATTGAAACTGCTTTAAGTCTATAGAAAGATAGGCTGCACATATGCAGTGTATGACTTTACTACACTTTACCTTATGACTGATTATGTGATAAATAATACAGATAAGAATGTTCAATAACCAAACAATGTAAATAACTCTAAAAATTGGCATTCATTTCCACAGTACAGGTACAAAGAGTATAAGTTTCCTTATGTAGCCTATATCGTATATATTGCTATTACAACTTCAGTATTTTCAGTTTACCCTATGATAATTGCAAAACTTTTCAAAACACAGTAAGTGTATTCTTCTACATGTTCCAAGGCTTCAGTAATGATCCTAGTCTCTGAATTAAAAGGACCTCGGAAAATCAAACGCACAGCTAGCAGGTTCACTGTTATAGCAACAATGAACAAACTTGGACCAAGTAAACAATTCTGCTTCTTTCTACTTCAAGATCAAAAAGGACACTAAAGGGTCTCAAAAAACTAAACACTCCATCAGTACTAGTTTCCATCCTTTCCATCGATATATTTAGTCCCATTGTAAATGACCTAAAAGCATTTTCCAATACGGGACAAAGCTCATCCAGATTACATTAAAGATATCTGTGCTTACCGGTTGTGATGTCATCATCTACAAGGTCATGCTCTTCCTCCTGGACTTTGGCTTCTGGCCCCGAAGCATCAGGAGCAGTGGTGATAGTCTGCATGGCTTCTGCTGAGACCCCAGCTAAAACAAATGGGAAGCACAACAGTTAGTTTAAAAAAAAAAAAAACTAATGTACATTTTGGGAGGAGAGCACATTTTAGTACAACCACTTTATTCAGTATTGCTCCAGCAAAAGAGTGAACAGTGCTAAATCAACGGTCCCCAATAACTGCAAAGTGATAAAGCTACCCTTTACAGTTTCATTTCTGTTGTAGGGTTTTCAAGATAAAATTTTAAAGATGGGGAATTACTAGAAAAATACTGTTAATTACTTAATTAAAGATGGCTATCAATAAAATAATCACAAAGAGAAGAAGGTAAATGTCACATTCCCAAACACTTATTTCTTAAGCATAAAATCAAAAATCATTACTTCATATTATTAAACCAAAGTATAAATCTCTGAAACCTCTTAGTCTTGTTCCTTGCCCAACACCTGATAATTCTAGAAATAATCAGAGAAACAGGGAAACTATATTAATGAACAGTTTAGATGGTAATAATCATTTATCATTAGTATTTCCTTTCCTGTAGAATTAAGGGATTCCATGAAAATACTTCTGTGTAATGAATTTACAAACCCACTTAAATTTATCTTATTTAATCAGATGGGATCAAGCACTTGCTCAACAGAGCACAGCTAGCAAATTCAAGAACCAGTAGTGACGTGTAGGTCTTTGGATTTCAAATCTCAATATCCTTTCACCACCAAGTCCTTCCAGGGACTGAGTTCCTCATGGCAGGATAGGGGGTATGACACAACATCAGAACAT